CCCCCCCCCCCCCCCCCAATTGGTTTTTCCTTCGCCGCCACCACCCCCGACCACCGTTTGCAACGGGATCAGTCTCAAAATGACCAGTTAGTCTCCCTCTACCAGCCCCACCCCATAGTCGCCGTGATATGCGGCGACCTACGGCTGATTTTTACGTGAGATTTCCATCATTCGTTTCGGACGTTTCCGGCTATCAAATCTTGCAATCTAGGTATGCTTTTTCATCCTCACGATGTGCTCTAACTGCTGGTTGGGTTGTTTAGGATCAATTTTTGCGTTTTGAGTGTCAATTAAGAGATAGAAGTTTTGGCCGGTTTCGGCCCTTGATTCCGGCCACCTCCAGCCACTTTTTGGGGTTAGTCCAAGAACAAAAGTTGTTCCAATCAATGTCCTGATCATGTAGGTATAAGTCTTGATTGATAGTTTGAAGATTTCCGATCGCCGTAATAGCTTTGGACACCCACTCGCTGTCGGCGCATATGGCGGCGAGTGGGCACTGTTTAGGTGTCCTTCTAAGTCCTAAAATGATTCCCATATTGTCATGAGCACGACGGTATGCTCTGATTGAATTTAGTTATCTTTTGACCGTCGATCGGATATCGCATATTATGCGTTATCTAGGTTTAATATGTTTGGACCGTTGGATCGACTTCTTTTTAATATATGTTGATCTAGGCATCTCTAGGATCGTGCAGAAATTTGCGGATCATGAATCGGAGCCTCGGATGTTCCGATTCAATAACTTAAAGTTTGCGTTAAACGATAACCGTCTGATCGTACGATCGCAAGTGATCCGACCGTTCGATTCGGACCAAACTTGCAGAACGTGTATCTTAAACCTTATTAAACCCATAGGAACTTCCAGATCAGAAATAGAAGGCCGTGGGCTCGGTTGACCCAATTTGGAAAGTTTGACCGCTTGGTTGGCCGAGCGTCTTCCGAGACTATTCCAACATTCGAAACACGTAATTGAACCTTAGGAGGTCTCGTTCCTCGTGCATATACTTGAAACTTGGGGAAACTAGGATTTTAATTTAAAGTTCTCGTTCGAGGCATTTTATATTAATTTCTTACTCGTATTCTGAAATAGGTGCTCCGACCATACGTAGGTAGCATGCGGGACCCTCTCAAGGCCAGGCAGCATCGGACTATTTGTGAGTGGACATTGTTTTGAAATAACATTATTTTGATTGGTTAAATTGTCTTGCATCAAAAATGGATTTTCATGACTATATATATCCTTCAACTATGAATATTTCTGTCATCTTGGTAATTGAAGTTATGATTTTGCGGAATATGGATTATATAAGTTGAGAAATGGTTATTCACCTTGTGATTGTATTGTTTGGGCAATATATAAATATGAGTTGAGGTATTTTATTGTTTGGTTATGTGAATATGGGATTGCACCATGCAAAGTACCCTCCCTTGGTTACGGTACCCACACGTGGCGTTGGATTATCCGGCATGTGGGCATATATGGTTATGTTGTAGCTTATCACACGTGGCGTTGAATTATCTGACATATGATAAAGTTGTCTGCAAGCATAGGACTTAGTATTCGGTTTTGGCCACACGTGGCGTTGAAAATTTCCGGCGTGTGTGATGTAGAGTGTTCATCCCCCAATTGGACCACTCACCCCTAGACCCAGGGTAGAAACTTGAAGCCCTGCGGACTAGCAAAACAATCCCCTTGTTGGATTGTTTTCTCTGGTACTCAAATTGGTGTGATACTTATATATATATATATTTACTTACGGTATTGAGGTATGTACTTATAGTATATGTTATCGTAGTATATAAATTTACTTAACTATTAATCTTAGCATATATGGATAAATGTATAAGTGAAAAATTCTGAAGTTATTCTCACATATGTCGTTTGTAAGTCATTATTTTCGGGAACTTTTGGGTTGAAGTCAAAAGGATTTGGTTTGGATATGATCATATGTTCTCGGGAAAGTGAAAACATGTTGAGTTCAAAATGATTATATAGATATGGTATCAATTGCATGTTTTCGGCATTATTTGCCAAATGGTGGGGTTAGTATGTTGTTTTGCAAACTAAATCAAACTTTTTTTAAACCCTAAACCCTAAACCTTAAAGAAAAGGAGAGAGATGGCTATAATAACCTAGATGCCATTGTTTGCACCTCCAAAGCGGTCTACACCGTGGGCAAGTTAGGGCCGATTGGTGCGGCTACAACCGCTTTGCAAGAATTTAAGCACGAGTCAGAAGTTGTTGTGCTAAAAGAGCGAGTAACTAAGTTAGAAGAGGCAGTGGAGGTGGCTGTGTAAGGATTTAATCAAATGCAAGCGGTGGGTTTTTTTGTTTTATTTTATATGCTATTTTTGGTGACAATTCAACGAGAAAATGATCAGTCAACATGAAAAGATGATGAAGAAGATGCATCACCTAGATAGCTACAGTAACATTGCAAAGCAACTGTAGCTGCACCAACCGGGCCCAACTTACCAACTCACAGAAGAGCTCTAAAAACTTTGAGAGATGACTACAGTAACCTGGATGCCATTGTTGGCACCTCTAAAGTCATCTACACCGCAGGGAAATTGGGGCCGCTTAGTGCAGCTACAGGTACTTTGCAAGGTTTTAAGTATGAGACAGATGACCCCAACTTCCCCACGGTGTAGATAGCTTTAGAGGTGCCAACAATGGCATCCAGGTTACTATTGCCATCTTTTAAAGTTTCTAAACCTCTTCTGGTAGTGGGTAAGTTGGGGCCAGTTGGTTCGGCTACTTTGCAGGGTTTTAAGCACGTGACAGATGTGGCTGTGCTCAGTGGCAACGACCACATTTGTCTCATGCTTAAAACCTTGCAATGTAGCTGCACCAACCACCCCAACTTCCCCGCGATGTAGATGGATTTAGAGGTGCCAACAATGGCATTCAAGTTACTGTAGCCATCTCTCAAAGTTTCTAGAGCTCTTCTGGGAGTGGGTAAGTTAGGGTCGGTTGGTGCAGCTACAGCTGCTTTGCAAGGTTACTGTAGCCATCTAGGTGCATCTTCTTCATCATCTCTTCATGTTGACTGATCATTTTCTCGTTGAATTGTCACAAAAAATAACATACAAAAAACAACAAAAAAACCCACCGCTTACATTTGAGTAAATCCTTGCACAGCCACCTCCATTGCCTCTTCCAACTTAGTCACTCGGTCCTTCAGCACAACGACTTCTTACTCATGCTTAAATCCTTGCAAAGCGGCTGTAGCCGTACCAACCGGCCCCAACTTGCCCACGGTGTATACGGTTTTGAAGGTGACAATAATGGCATCCAGGTTACTGTAGCCATCTCTCCATTTGTAGTGCTCTTCTGGGCGTTGGTGGTTTTGTGAAAATACGTTTAAAGATGACATGACATCCAAATTTGATTTTTTTAAACGTGTTTTCACAAAACCACCCACGCCCAGAAGAGCACTAGAAAAGGAGATAGATGGCTACAGTAACCCGGATGCCATTGTTGGCACCTCCAAAGCAGTTTACACTATGGGCCTGTTGGTAATTGAAGTTATGATTTTTCGGAATATGGATTATATAAGTTGAGAAATAGTTATTCACCTTGTGATTGTATTGTTTGGGCAATAGAGAAGTATGAGTTGAGGTACTTTATTGTTTGGTTATGTGAATATGGGATTGCACCATGCTAAGGACCCTCCCTTGGGTACGGTACCCACACGGGGCATTGGATTATCCGGCATGTGGGCATATATGGTTATGTTGTAGCTTATCACACGTGGTGTTGGATTATCCGACATGTGATAAAGTTGTCTACGTGCATAGGACTTAGTGTTCGGTTTTGGCCACACGTGGCATTGGAAATTTCCGGCTTGTGTGCTACAGAGTGTTCGTCCCCCAGTTGGACCACTCACCCCTAGACGCAGGGTAGAAACTTGAAACCCTACGGACTAGCCAAACAATCCCCCTGTTGGATTGTTTTCCTCTGTACTCAAATTGGTGTGATACATATATATATATATATATATATATATATATATATATATATATATATATATATATATATATATATATATATATATATATATATATATATATATATATATATATATATATATATATATATATATATATATATATATATATATATATATATATATATATATATATATATATATATATATATTTACTTACGGTATTAGAGGTATGTACTTATAGTATATGTTATCGTAGTATATAGATTTACTTAACTATTAATCTTAGTATATATGGATAAATGTATAAGTGAAAAATTCTGAAGTTATTCTCACATATGTCGTTTCTAAGTCATTATTTTCGGGAACTTTTGGGTTGAAGTCAAAATGATTTGGTTTGGATATGATCATATGTTCTCGGAAAAGTGAGAACATGTTGAGTTCAAAATGATTATATGGATATGGTATCAATTGCATGTTTTTTACATTATTTTCCAAATAGTGGGGTTAGTATGTTGTTTTGCAATCTAAACCAAACTTTGTTTTGTCCACTCACACGTTTTCTGTTTTGCGCCCCAAGAGAGTAATTGATCATGTTGAGTAGCAGAGCTGAGACCTGTACTTCCAAATCCTAAGCTTCAGTAGGATAAGCTTTGCTTGTTTCTGTCTTGTTAAACTTTATTATCGCGTGTAAATCGAAACTCTTAGATTACTCTGTTATTGCCCGTACTAGGGTTTAATTTGTGAGGCTGGAGGCCATCTATGTAAATTGCTTGATTGTATCTGATGCATGCTGCCAGTTGGAGTTATTAAATGTGATTTTAACAGGTTGAGAATTTTTGGAAATGTCCATTTTTCAGGGGAGACTCTGCCAAAATTTCGGCAGAAAGTCTCGTAATTTTAGTATATGGGCCTGGCATCGGTTTGATGTCGAAAATATCACGGGATCCATCTCAGATTCGGAGGAATTCGGGGCGGGTCCTGTCTACTTGGTATCAGAGCATTAGGTTCATTTTCCTTCTTTGCACTCTGAAACTAACGGTTCTCTTTTTTCCTTCGTATAGAACCATGCCTCCTCGACGTGCTAGGACGAGATTTCACCTTCCGAGATGGGGGGAAACTACACCACCTTCAACCACCACCATCTCCACCACCATCACCACATCCATCTCCACCACCTCAAACTGGCGATGGGCAAGCTAGAGAAAATGAGCTCGATATATGTCACGTACTCGACCAGTTCAATCATACCATGACTACTGCCCTACAAGGGAGACGTAATATGGAGGGCTCCGATGGATGTCTAGAAAAATATGGGCTATAAAGAAAATTTTTTAAGACGACGATTTATCACACGCACGTGATTAAAATAGAAACTGTTGAAACGAACATCTATATAAATACAATTGGGAAAAAAATATTTACGAAACTTTGTAATTCGCACGTAGCGCATGTGATTAAAAAAAAGCCTCTCGCACACTCGAAAGCGTGTGCAGAGAGGCTAGTATTTATATTATAAGCATTGAAAGCTAAGGATCTTCTAGCCCTTAGGCCATCTCCAACTATAGGCAAAAAAAAATTGACCGAATTTGAAGGGCCACATTTGGCCTTTTGGCCCTCCAACCAGGCCACTTGTAGCCCAACTTTGGCCTAGGAAAAAAAAATTGTGGGCCCAATGCATGTGCTTTCTAAGAAGAAAAAGTATCATGCATGGGCAAGACCACAAAACATCTCGTACAACTGCAGATCCAAAAACCAATATTAAATGCGAGTTGACGTCAGCTAGCCGTTAGGATAGGATTTTTTTTAATAACCTTTCTAAATGTTTTTAAATTCATTTTATTTATATATATAATTGGTTTCTAACCGTTAAAGGTCAGAAACATTCATTGAAAAGTTACTTTTTTTTAATTTAAAACCTTTTTAAATGTTTTAAATTTGTTTTGTTTAAAATATATATATATATATATATATATAATATTGGTTATGATCGTTGGAGGTTAGAACCACTGAAACGCAACTAATTTTTCTTATTTTTAATAGTAACGATATATATATATATCCCCGCGCCCGTGTGATAAAAAATATATATTATATATATATATATATATATATATATATATATATATATATATATATATATATATATATAAAGAAAGTCGAAACAAGAGTTTAAAATAAATTTCTCTTATAAAAATAGCTCCCAAAATCTTACAACTTTACATGAAATAAATAAAGCTCTATCACTCTCATCTAATTCAGCCTCAACTAGTTTAGTCCTTGTCTTGCCCATTAATTCATATGAAAAATTAAACAGGGTGAGGGATGAGCAACCACCGCTCAGTAGGGACATGGAACCTTACCACAGTAGATTGATATAACTAAATTAAGTGACATGCAATCACACATCCAAATATCACATTAATAATATTAATGCATGAATGCTGTTCATCTAATCCCATTAATTCATATAACTGGACAAGCAGACCTGCACGTCTCATACCATGCTTGTACCACTTGGTCCCGAATGCCCATTTATATGAACTAACACTCATTTCAATCATCCCATAATTCTTCTTTTGTTAGTCATCTTGTCTAACTCCCTTTCGCCATTCCCGAATCACCCAATAAAAATCATGTGCACTGTGGGATCCCTGAGACCTGGTACCTGCCAAGAGTTAGACTCAACTACACAAAAGACTATTTCCATACCCTCTTTTCCATACTTTCTTTATCAACCCAAGAATTCCAGCCATCACCAATAACACATGATCATGTCAATATTAATAAAATAATATAATGATAATTAACAACACTTAAACACCCAATATCAATAATAATCAAATAATAATATCACGCATAATATAGTGCTCACGAAATTTAATTAAATCAATCCCCGTAAAGGCCCCCCCAAGAAATCCCTACCTGGATACCAAAGCTTTTACTAGAACTGTAAGATGATTTCCAATTTTCCACCGCACTCACAAACTCAGTTTCCCACTCTAATTCTCCCTAATATTTTTTCTTCTTGTTGAGGCCTACTTGGGAGACTTTGGGCTAGCTACTTGGGAGCACCAAAGTCCAAGCCCATTACTTAGAGTTCTCCAATTTGGGTGAGCAAATGAGATATTTTTCAAGCACTTCCTTTTACCCATAGGAAATAGCCATTTTCCAAATGCCTAGCTTTACCCTTTGAAAACAAGCCTTTTCCAGCACTCCATATTACTTGCTGGAAACAAGCCATTTCTAGCGCTTCCTTTTACCCATAGGAAATAATCAGTTTATGTTACCTAGCTTCGCCTGCTGGAAAATAGCATGCCCCAGTGCTCCATTTTACCTATTGGAAATAGGCTGGTTCCAGCACCTTTCTTTGCCTATTAGAAATAAAGGAAAACCCTCACCCTCTATAAATTTGGAGGCATTTGCTGGGCAAAATAAAACCATCTCTTGGTTGCTGCAAGCTTCCCAACAACCATGAGAACTCATCTTCCTTCCTCCCTTCAGCTGCTGCAAGCATCCCAGTAGCCATCAACCCCCTTCTTCAAGCATCGCCCCTTCCTTTAGCTACTGGAGCACAACAACTTCTTGCTTTGGCTGCTGCAAGCATCCCAGCAGCCATCAACATCCTTCTTCAATCATCACACCTACTTCCTAGTTGTTGCAAGCACCCCAGTGTTGCATTCCTAAAAGGACACAAATTAATGTGCAAACAACCAATTAAAAATACCCGCAAGTGCACGAATCTAATGAAGTATAGATTATGTAAGTACGGGGTCGATCCCACGAAGAACTTGTCGGTTTCCTATAAGTTCTAATTTGAGTACGTAAAGAACACT